CCACAGGGGATTTGTTGCCACAGAGCAGGGAAAGGGCCCAGCACTACAGCTGGGACTTGCCAAGGCTGGTTGTTGGTTGCACCTCGGGTGTCCTGGTGGTGCTGTCAGATGGGCTGGGCAGCGGGTGCATGACAAGGACAGGCTACAATGATTTCTCAGAAGTCACACAAGTCTTCTGCTTACAGCTCTCTGTTAGCTAGAGGAGACAGTCCATATTCCCAAGCATGGCACTCCCAGTTACCCAGACTCTGAAGTCCGGGGTACGCACCCTGTTTTTGCACTTGGAGAGAATTGGGGAGGCAGGAGTCACATCGAGCAGGCAGGAGGTTTATTGGGGTCACCACTGAAACATCTGCAAGGGGTCACTGCTGAGAACCAGATCTGGTGGCGAGAGACGCCTGGCCTGCGTGGTGGCAGTGAGAGTGGCAGCTGTGTGCGCCTGTGTGCACGACAGTGCCTGCAGTGGGCACCGCCGGGCAGGGCCCGCCCCGCGTCAGGAAGAAGCCCTTCAGGGAGAAAGCCAGCAGTGGGCTCAGCCCTCCCTGGAAGTCCCCCTCGCTGTGAGCAAAATTAAAATACTTTGCAGGGAGAACCCTGCAGGCTGTTTTCTGAAGGCACCTTGAACTTGTTGAGTTGACTGTACCCTGGAGGCTTAGAGGAGGCGGCTAAGCTAGCTGCAGTGGGCCCCAGCCCCCAACGCAGGCCTGTTTGCTGTTTAGAAAAGAATTTTAAATCTGTCTTTAAAAATGTACAAGTTACCAAACCGCATGCCTGGCTTGCTGCTTCTCTTGAGTCCATGTAGGTATGCAAATACGGAAACATGTTGGTAAGCGGACTTGGAGACAAGAGCCCCAGTGTCAGGCTGTTTGCTGCAGACCCCAATAACAGGTTTCTCTAGGTGGTTTTGACTGTTTGATTTCTAAATGGTGAACAGAGAAGAGTTAAAATCCAGGCCGCTCTGGAAAGAGGATTGTTCCGTTCATACGGGAAGTTGTTTTTCCTCCCCTGGATGTGTGGACAGGGCTGGGATGAATGGCTTAGAAGAGGACCTCTGAGAAGTCAACTCCACTCTTGGACACCTAGGGAAACTGAGGCCCAGAGTGCCAAAGGGCCTCCTCCATGGCTCCCCTGCTAGGATCTGAGGCCACACAGGAATTCTGTGGCTCCTGAATCCAGTGTTTTCCTCGCACACACCAGTGGGGGAGTTCCAGCTGCAGCCTGATTGTGCCATAGGCCTCTGTGAATGTCAGGGGGCTTGGGCTTGGGTTTTGTGTTTTTAGAGAAAACTCACAAGAGACGCTTTGTTGAGTGCCTTAATGGAGTGCTCTAACTCAAACCGCAGGGAAAGGCTGATTCCTAGCAATCCAGAAAGGTCTGACTCCAGATGGCCAGGCTTGAGCAGGTCTTTCAATAATAAAAACCATCATCATTTATTGAACACCTGCTGTATGCTTCCTCGCTCTGTGCTGGGTCTTGGAGCTAGGTGGAGCAGGCCGTCTGTTGAGGTGTGGGGTGGATCTGTGTAACGTTGCTGCATGTAGGGGGGGCCCTTGGGTTGGGCTTTGTGAACAAAGATTATTTCTTAACCCTTGGTTGCCATATATAACGCTGCTTGCTACTTCTTATTTTCTTCATGCGTTCCTAACTTTTTTTTGTCTCTTTCTCTAAGTCTCTCTCTTGTCCCTAACTCTCTTTTATGAGGGCATGTTTGCCTCACAATCAAATAGCAGTAACTGTCATAATTTGGGGCACAAATTAGGCCACTGCTGAGTTACTTAATTTTGCTGCTGGAGAAGTTTCTTGCCACCTTAGTCATTGCCCACTCGGTCTTTCTTTGGTCATGTTAGAGATTACAAAATCGTTTACTAGAACCATGGTCACCCTGGTCTTGACATTCAGAGGACCACCCACCCACCATCCATCCGCCCCCAGTTCCAAGAACCATTGACTCACTCCTGATTTCCTAGGACAGCGAGATCCTGGAATGTAGGGAAGGAGGAACTGGGTTCTTCACACGCTGAAGTTCAAGTTTTTATTTAAAAGTTAATTTTTTTTATGAAAAGGAATCCCTGTTTTACATCTTTGGTACATGTAAAGGGGAAAAGGACATGAGAGTTTTGCCTAGATTTTCAGATGGCCAGCATAAACCATTTCAAAAGACAGTGATTCAATAGATAGTGCAAAATACCAAATACCAAAGAGACACCATTTGTAACCACCAAGTTAGCAAACACTGATTTAATGCCTGTTAATTAAATTGGTTAAATAATGATATCTCTATATCCTCTTAGGCTCATTAGAAAATTGTGTTGTCTTTGGCCATTGAAGTAGAGGGGGAAAGTGCTCATTTATTATGTATTTAACAAAATACAGTGATGAGTTTTCTTTTCACTTCGCTGTGTTCTATTATAGAGAAGTGTTTTATGCTTAATGATAAACGTTAATTTAAAGAATCAAGTTTTGGCAAAGCTTTCCAGATCTTTCTGTTTAAAAAAATTTTTTTTGAGGAGGAAAATCGAAAGGGATCACCTTGAAGTTGCTTTCCACACAGGCATTTGTTTCCTTGTCTGGAAGTGGGGTGCTTTGCATACTCTGTCAAGAGGCCTCCAGGGGGTTCTAGGAAAGATGGTGTGAAAGCCCCCAGCTCAGTTCTGACCACCAGGCCAGCTGGCTCCTTCTACCCCCCTCTCGGGTCCTGCCTCCAGCAGCCCCTTCTCACCAGTCAGGAATTCCTCCTTCCTCGGCCTCACCCCAAGTTCAGATTTAGCCACACAGTGAATAACACATTTAGTCAAAGAGGGTTTTTGGTTTCCACAAATTTATTGCCTACACATATCACCCTTCCTATCGTTATTGGTCTCCTGTCTATGTTTGACTGGAGGACTTGAATAAATTCTTGAATAATTGGAGAAAGGTCATGTTCTGGGAGGGTGCCTCTGTTTTGGAAAGATGTTGGCTCTGCAAACTTTATTATACACACACTTGTTTGGGGGGTAGGGAGTGGCTTTTATAAGGAAGGGATAAGCAGATAGCAAAAAGCCAGAAAACTTCCATTAAAAATTTTAGAAAGATAATAAACACATTGTAAAACTCTGCTCATTAAAATAGAGTATTGGAGACACAGGACAGAATTTTAAAAGTTCAGAAGCAGACCCAGGCCTTTGCAAGCATTATGTTTCAAATTGGGGAGATGGCAGTTGATTCTATAAGGGGTAAGATCCATCTTCTTCACCAACATAAGTTCCTGAAGGATTAGCGTTAAACGTAAAACCAATCTCTGAAGGAACTTGAAGAAGGTATTGGTGGTTGTTTACCTCACTCCATTTTCAAAAACTTTTCTGCGCTTGCTGCTGCAGGTTAATTGTTGGCTATAAATCAGGAAAAGTTGCATTTTCACCAAACCGCCAACCACAAGCAAACAGCAGCTAGCTAATGGATACCCTGGCGGGTTCCCCTGGGCGGCCTCTTCCCAGATAGTGCTGGGGCCTGGGCGAGGCAGGGGCAGGACTGGCCTCTCCCCCTGAGTGGGCCTGTGGCCTCAGATCTGGGGAGTGGGGAGACCTAGATCCTGGATGTTTGGGGATGCTTAGAAGTTGTAAACACATTACAGGATATTGGCAGAATGTCTTTACTTCCAGAGAGAGTTGCTTTTCTGCAGGCAGAGTCATTTGGAAACAATGGAGTGGGAAAGCCAGCCCAACCCCACCCACACTTATGTAGTAAAGCACCCACTGTGTGCCCCTGTTTGGTACTGCCTGCTCCCAGATGTGCAGAATTGTACAGATGTACAAAACACAGCCCATCCTGGCACCTAGCCCTCTGTTGACAAGCGAAAGAGACAGCAGAGAGCCCCCGCCCCCCCTTTACAAGAAGAGGCAGAAAGGCCAAGTCAGGCTTGCCCATTCGCCCCTTGCTAATACAGGCAGCAGCACCTGAACCCAGATGCATTGGTTCCCAGAGGAATCTATTCATTTTGCTGCATGTAGTATGTTCATAGACTCATACATTGCTTCATTTCCATCCTTCAAGCTTGGAAGTTAGAGGTTCTGGTTCCTATTTTCTGGCTAACGAAAGGGAAGAAGTGACTTCTTCAAGGCAGTGGAGGCAAACTGTTTTTAAAGAGAAAAAGGAGGCATTCCATTTCCTGATCCATGGGCCCCAGGGAACCACGCAGACCCCTGGGAGGTGACTGGTGATTCAGGTCCAAGTTCGCCATCCTGGTGGGGTTTGGGACCACCCAGATGGCCGTGGCTTGCTTCAGGAGGAGCACCTGCAAGGTTTAGGGTCGGTGGGGAGGGTCAGAGCTTGCAGCCTCCCTGTCAGCCTCACCCTGAGCCATGCGAGCTGAGGACCAGCACCAGGTACGCCGGCCACGTGCCAGGTGGGATGCAGGCTGTCTGGAAGGAAGCCAGACTGGGGAGAGCCGCAACTGCTCACCCCTGGGAGACGTTTGTTGAGGCAGAGGTACCAGGTAAATGCCAGACTAGCAGCCTTTAAAAAGGAAAGTAGCCCTCTCCTCCCACCCCGTCCCCCTCCCCCCGCATTGGTGGGGCCCTCCTCCTCTCCTAAGGTACCCAGGACCTGGATGGAACCAAAATCCAGCTCCTCCCACCCACCCTCTGCAGGGGCGTTTACCAGGTGGCCCCCTGTCTTACACTGAATGTTGACTCTGCTGATCCTTGTTCTGTGCAGCCGGTGCAGATGTGTATGCAAAACTGCCTGCACTCAGGTAGCTGCATCAAGCAGGGACTGGGTCAGGCAGTCGCAGTCGGCTTAGTAACAGCCACTGTCTGCAGGGAACATGCGAGGCAGCGGCTTTATCCCTGCGTTTAGAGTGAGGAAAGGGAGCTCATCAGATGCCTACTAAGTGGCTTGCCTGGGGGGAGGGAGGTCTCTGGCAGACTTGGGAGGACTAGGTGGGAAGAGTTGGGTGCCAGGGCTCAGAAATCTGTAGCTCATCCTGGTGCACCTGCTAACCCCACACCTTCCTGTCTCCACAGAGTGCAGCAGCCGCCCCGAGCCCCGTGCTTGGCAACATTCCCCCCAATGATGGGATGCCAGGAGGCCCCATCCCGCCAGGTTTCTTTCAGGTACGTGCTGGGCCCTGGGTCCTGGGCTTCCCTCCCTCCAGGTCAGGCCTGGCCCCGGGCAGGTGGGAGGGAGGCAGGCAGCAGGCAGTCACAGCCCAGTTTGCCATGGTGTAAATACAGTTGCTTTATGCTGGTTCAGACCCTTCCCTTCCCTTCCGCCACCAACGTCCGAGCAGGGGAGAGGGGACAGTGAGCGCGGCCCTCTCCCGCGGACTGTGTCCATTCTGCTGTAGTTTGTCGCTCCACACCAGCTTCGCGGCCCCCCACAGGCACCCGTCTGGCAGGCTGTGGGGCCGCTTCCAAGTCCGTGTGGAGCTGTTTTTTAACAAAAGGTCTTGTTGGTTTTTTTCTTAACAAGTAAACTGTTCTTTGTTGCTGTTTCGTTGCTGCTGTCGTTGTCATTGTTTATTTTGCCTGTCCAAACTACAAACCTTAGACGTAATCTGAAAAAAACCAAAAAACCAAAAACCCACCGTGCTGGCGGGCCCCGGCATCCTTTCCCTCTGGTTAACCACTCGATCCTTTCCGGTGCGATCACAGGCGTGTCCCACCGGCATCTGTGCCCGCCGAGCTCTGCCCGCAGCGGCAGGCGCCAGCCCACTTGGGCGAGGGCCTGGCGTCCCCGGGAGACACCTCGTTGGTCCCCTCCCTCCTTTGTGCCATCCCAGGTGGTGGGTAGCTGCCACCCCTTCTGTGCCTTGTGCCTCATCTCTGCCTTTGCCTCTGGGGGGGTTCATGGGACTTACGTAGACTGGCAGACACCCCCTTGGTGAGGTGTCGGGGTGCAGGACCAGAGGGAACTTTTATGAAGAAGCTCTTGAGTGTGACAACTCAGTCTTCGAGACCTGCCTAGGCCAGGTTTTGAGTTCGTCTGAGTTCTCCATGCCTTTGGAAAGGCTGGTGCGTCCAGATAAAGACTATGGAAAGAGCTCTTACCCAGAGAAGAAGGCCTTTGTTCTGTGAAATCCAAGGACTCGGAACGAGGACCAGTGGGACAGAGTCCGAGGAGACCTTCGCTTGGTGTAAGGCAGGACTTCACACCGTGTGGCCTGCCGGAGGCGCACAGGACAGGGGCTCCTTGGCACTAGAGGTGTCTGCAAAACACAGGGCAAACACCTCTTCGGGATGTTAAGGGGATGTCCTCCCTGAGCGAGATGTGATGTTGGGAGACACCTTTTCTGCAAGCTTTTGCGTTTCTGTTGATGTTCACTCCCAGGAAAGGAGGATTAGGCCCTGTAGTGCAGAGCTAGGAGGGGAATCAGTGAGACCTGGACGCTCCCTAAAACTGAAACAGTGGTTCCACCATCACCAGAATGACTATGACAGGCACAGGGGCGGCACACTCCAGGCAGTGTGCTGCCACTCTGGAGCCTCTTTCAGGGCTGGAGCTGGGGACAGCCCTAGAAGTCGGTGTGGAGGCTCCAGTTGGAGTAGACCAGGCATTGCCGGGGTTCAGGCAGAGGCGGGTGGGGCCAGACTTTAGTAAAAAAGTGAGACCTGTGAATGTCAGCAGGGTCTCCCTGCCCAGGGGCAGCCATCCCCACCATGCAGGTGGGGGGTTCTGCGCCCCCAGCGGTGGTCTTTGACTGTTGCTGTGTGTGGTGGGAAGTCCTTCCCAGGCTCACATCTGGATGCCATAGGTGTGACTTTCCTGCCTGGTGGGCAGGGTCTCAGGCCCCACCCTGTGTGCCTCTCTCCTGAGGCCACTTACTGGCATCTGGCTCCTAATCCAGGCCACTGTGGTGGGAAGACATGGACAGGAGCCAGCTGCACTTCTTCAAATAGGCCATTGACTTCTATTTTGGCCTGAGTCTAGGGCAAGGCGGAGGTCTCCTGATACGTGGGCCGCTCCCGACTTCCTGCTTTGGTGCAATTGTCCACAGTTAAAGCCTAATTCCAGGCATACTTTTTGGGCCCTCCCCTGTGACGCTCAAGGGTGTGTGATCAGAACACCCAGACTGATTCCTGTCCTTATTTAGCCACTGCCAGGCATCATCAAAAAGAGGTAACGTGGACCCTCTTGACTTGATCCTGTCTTGAGCTCTAGTTGGGGTGGGCCAGTCAAGAACAGGCTGGGCCAGGGAACAGGGAGCTGTCTGCCCTGCCCTCTCTGCTCTCCGGGTGGTTTTGACGGACTCTCCCACCATCCGCCCCCTACCCCTGGGGCCATCATTTCCCCTTAGAATAGGATCTTTCCTGGCTGTGATGCTGAGTGGCTCAGGCTGGGTCACTGCTGAGGGAAAAGGGTATCTCTCTGGAAGGAGGTTGTGGCAGCCCATTTCCGGAGCAGCCTGCTCACAACAGGAATATTAGCTATTGATTGCCGGCCCTGCCCCTCGCTCATCTTGCAGGCAGTTGCTCTGATATTAGAAGGGAAATAGAGATGGTATCAAGGGTTTTATCTGCTGCCAACAATTGCACTCCTTCCCCTGTTTGGCCTCGGCCTGGGCAGGCATCTCTGCTGCAGGAGGGCCTTTGCACAGAGAAGCCAGCCTGGATTGGTTGGTCCAGCATTGGCCAGAGCCTGTCCCAAGGTGACCAGCCCTGTTTTCAGGTCAAGTCAAAACTTCACCCCCAATTGTTGCTAAATTTAGAAACCATTAGGGCCTCTAGGGTGGGTGGGAGGGAAAGCCTGTTCCCCCAGCCTAGCTCTGGAAAGGTACCTGGGTTTTACTTCCTCAGGTGTCTGAGTGCTGGGCTGCAAGGCTGCTCCTGGAGTCAGAAGGCACGAGCACCCACACATTAGGCTCCACCTGTGTGCTTTCTCTTGTTTGATGTCTGGGGTGTTCGGTGTTTGGGGTGGCCAGTGCCTGTCTTGTGCTGTGGTGTGAGACATGTCTGGTAGCAACTTGAGGGCTGGCAGGGCAGTAGGTTGGGAGACTGACCCTGTCTCACCCTTGGGGAATGTTGTGGTACACCTGGGGTCATCGAAGCACTTACCCAGGGCTTTCTATTTTGCACGTTTCTTCTGAAAAGACTGCCTTTATCTTGGAGTCCCTGGAAGGTGATAGGTCGTGGGGACCCAGGGAAATGTTTGAACTGCATGTATTTGTGTTGCTCACATTACGAGGAGTGGAGCCCAACCAGCCCCAACGCTCTAGACCCAGCATTCTGACCGGGGTGGTATTCTGGAGTGGGGAGAGCCTTGAGGACGCCTGTTCTGGTCCCACACATGGCCACTCCATTGCTGACCAGTCTTGGGCAAGTCATTCCCCATCTCTGGACCCATTTCCTCACCAGTGGACGGGTCAGATGGTCTCTGAGAGCCCTTCCAGCTTGGATTTTCTGCTTTGAATTCAGATGGATTTTATATAATCAAGCAGCTTAAGGCAGTTGGGCTGCACATCTGGCAAACTCAGCGTGGCCTTCGCCAGGCCGGCTGGTCTGGGTGGGTCCCCAGCAAATTGGCCTTGTGATGGTTCTACAAGAGGTACTGTGTGATGAGTTTCTAGGTCCAGAGCTTGGAGAATTGTTGGAGGGCAGGGGTCACAGCAAAGAGCTCATTGAGTTCAGGCTGTTTTTGTGCTTGTTTTGTTTTCAATTCCAATAATTGCTTTCAGTTATGTAGTGTTTTTAGACACGCAACTTAGTTTCGTTTCGATCACAGCGTGTCCACGGAGGAGGCGTGGCTGGTTGGGAAAGGCAGACTTATTAGGAAGGTGGATGACCTGCCCAGAGCTAACTGCTGAAGACTGTCCGGCTCTTAGACTTGCCCATCTTGTTTTCCCACAGCAACCAGACCTCCAAATAATAGGCGCATGTCTCATTGTCTCTGGGTAGAAGAGAGAATAAGAACGTGAAGGAAGGTGGGAGATAGTGGAGGGAGAAACTCAAAATTAGCCAGTTTTCCCATTCCAATGCCAGTTCTCGTTGGCTGGTGGTGACTGCTGAGAATTCTGTGTTGAGAATGATTCTGAAGCCGTGTCCGGGCTCACTAGCTACCGGTTGACAGTGTCTACCTGGGACACCTGTCTGGTGGTACATGTCTTACATATTTGCCCTCCCTGATCTAATCCAAACTTACCGTTTCTGGCTATGGACTGGAAGCTGGGAAGCAGAATGGACTGTGGTTAGTGATAGTCCTTGACCACCTCTCATGGGAAGGCGTGGGGCTTGGCTCTAGGCCCAGACTGAATCAACCTTAGTCTGTCTGCCCGATGGGGCAGCCAGCCTACCAGAGAGGCTGACAGGTAATCCCTGCCCTGAGCAGGAAGCAGAATGGTCTGCCTGGCCAGACAGGAGATCAGAAAGGGCTTCCTAGAGGTGGTACAGCCCTGGCTGAGGCAGTGTCTAGAATAAGGTGGATGATGGGGACTCCATGGGAGACAAAAGTGGAAAGATTGCCAGTGGTTGGTACACCTTGTTGGAGAAAATGGGGTCCATCCCGTGGCGGGAGGCAGCATCTGGTGCACCCTGATCTGGGTGATGCTTCGTCTTTGAGTGCATCCCAGAGCAGCCCTGTGAGCCCCGTGGAAGCGGGACTGAGTGCCAGTCACACTGTCAACCGTACCGGCACTGCAGAGGACGGAGGACTAAAGACGGTGCCTTCTCTGGAAAGCACAGTCCTGGGGATCTCGCTCCTTTGCCGGAAGTCCAGCCCACCTGCTCTGGAATTCCCCCAGCCTGGGGTGCTGCAGGGGCTGGCATAGTGATAAGTGCTCTTTCTGCCAGATGGACTTGCCCATCCCTGGAAGGAGGCCTTCTCCCAGAGAGCCCCGTCAGGGGAGAGGAAAAGGGCATATAGCCAGGTAGCCCAGGAACCGAAGGAGTGACCCAGAAAAGCAGAGGGAGAGAGACCCTTCCCATGGAGAAATAGAGAATCTTCTCGCCTTGTCACTCGCAGAAGTAGCTGGGGTTTCTCCGGAAGCGAAGCGGCCTCAGTGGGGCTCTGAGACTGACATGAAGTATTGGTGTGTGTGGCAGACACTCAGCTCTGCCTCCGTTTGCCTTCAGTCCTTAGGCCCTTGGGAGAAAAGTTGAATTGTTGTAGAAAACATTTC